ACATGCATGGTGGCCTGTTCCATGGAGTCTCACAGCTGTTTGAGACTCTGATCAATTTTTCCCATTTTTCTCTGTTCTTTGGATAGAATAATTTTCATTAATTTTTTTCAGTGCATGAATTGTTTATTATGCTGTCTTAAATCTGATGTGCAACACCTTTAACAAAGTTTCCATTTGATCTGCTTTATTTTCAAATCTAGATTTCCATTAAGTTCTTTTGAAAATACAGTTTCTATCTGCGTGCTGATACTATCTATTGGATGAGTCATTGTCATAATATTTTCCCTTAGTTTTTAAAATATAATTTCCTTTAGTTTTTGAACATAATTTACTAGCTGCTTTGATTTATTCCCTGGTATAGCATTGTGGAGCACAGCTGAGAGACTGAGAGACTGTTTCTACTGACTTTTTCCTTGAGCCTTTTCCTGTTTCTTTGGATAGCCAGTAATTTTTTTTTTACTGGAAATTAGATATTTTAGATAACTTACTGTTTTTTTTTTCTCTCTCTCTCTCCCTCTCTCTCTCTCTCCCTTTCTGTTTCTCTCTCTCTCTCTCTCTCTCCCTTTCTCTCTCTCTCCCTCCCTCTGTCTTGTTGTGCTGTCCAGAAGTTGTTATATTTGTTTGTTTGTAGATGGAATTTTCCTGGACTTACTCTGTAGAGTTTCTCTACTATAGTATATAGCTGTGGATGTAACTGTCAAGTTTCCTATTTCTATCCTCATTTTTAATGTATAAATTTTGCTTCCTACTATTAACCCTCTGTTCAGCGTATCTTACAAATTGAGCAGAGGATATACTCAACCTGTTGGGCCAGTCAGCTTCTACCCTTTGCTAATAGAGCACTGTATAAAAAGGGAACACATATACAATTCATACAGTTTACAATTCTGTCCTTGCCCTTACTTTTTACTGAACATTTGTACTTTCTCTGCATGTCCACAACATCTTATGTGCAGCCAGGAATGTGTAAGTAGCTCCAGTCTCTTCTGAGCACTGTACTCAACCATGAGCACTTCTCAGGTTTTCAAACCTCTAGGGATTTTTTGGAGCTTAACACAGTCTGCTATGGCAGCCTCCATTCCTTAGAGCACCCTGCGAAGTTTCTGGCTGTGTTTCCAGTCTTCGCTTGTCCCCACCAATATCACAAGCTCAGCATATCTGTGACACCGATGTTCTGCATTTGTTTGATAATGCCATCACTACTGGGAATCAACAACAATTTCTTATGATGGCTTATGATTCCTTCCATGCCCTACTCCAAATCAAGTCAATTCCCTCTGACACAAAAAGCTATTGTTTTCCTCAGCTTACCCTGACATGTAGACTTACAGTACTGCTGGAGCTGAGCAGATGATAGTGACAGTCCTATGCCAAAACATCATAGGATCCAGTCCAATTCTTAGCCAAGTGTCAATAGGCTTATTAGAATAGGCACTTTGTTCTTTGCATGCCTTTGGTCAGTTTTCAGTATCCCAGAGTTGGTGGTTGTTTTTGACAATGCTGTCCAGTATTACAGTTGTTGTTTTGGAAAAGAATTTGCTGGGCTTCTCTCCCTATATTCCAGGAAGTCCTGCCTCTTCCATATGATGTTGTCATTATTGCTCTATGTTGTACTTTTTTTCCTGGGACTGCCAACCAGTGACTCTACATTTTTTTTATTTCAGAAATATACTTAAGACAAGCTGAGCCATTTTGTTGGGAATACACAAACAAAAAAATAAAAGATTTTATCTCATTCATTTTTAGCAACACCCTGACAAGATTCTAAATTATCTCATGCTACCTATATTTCTAGGGTCCCTTGTTCTCATCATGTATGAAGTCTGGCTCTCTGGCCTTTCATCAGTTCTGGAAGGACCCTCATGTCCATCCAGTAAATACTTACCCCACTTAAGCTAGCAAGAGCCTGTTTCTGTTGCTTGCAAACAAAGAACCTGATGGGTTCAGCTTTTCAAAGGATGTGCAGAAGGGAATCTTTTAAAGACTCCAGATAAGAGGCCAATTATTCACTTGACAGTTTTCAGGATTGCTACAATACACACACGCCTGTGGGAAGCTCCTGTGCCGGCGGTGAGCTGTGTGCCTGATGAAATCCCACTGGTGGGGCCAAGTCTGCACCTGTCACCAGCCACAAAGAGGATCCAATTTTTATCCATTTCATCTGGAGAACCATCTGGGCTGGGAATAGCAGTAATAATAACAAATCATTGTCACCAGATTTCCTCATAGATAGCACTTCTTTTTTTGTTGCTCTTGTTAAAAATCAGGTTTTCATCTGGCAGTAAATAAGCAGCCAGCAATAGTTACAAAGGCTGTCATGGGCTATCATAGGACGAGACTGAGACAGGATGTAGGAACACAGGCGCACTAAGAGTTGGCTGCTGGTAATCTCCTCTGGTCAGAAAATTAGCAAGAAGGGCTATGCTAGAAAGAACCATTCAATGGAAAGTTGAGCAGCAATGGCTTATTTATCAACACCATGCATGTCAGTAATTTTTGGATTTAGTTTGATGGGACCAACAGCAGGATAGGACAGCTAAATGAGGAAATGGTGTTACTAAGCAGCATCAGTAGACACAATATTTTATACAAAGGCAGTGTAGCAGTCCATTTTCTGTTACTATAACAAAATACTTGAGGCTGTGTGCACTATAAGAAAATGAGGTTTATTGTGATTACATTTCTGCAGATTCAAGAGTATGGTACTGGTAAAGGCCTCACTCTAGATGGTATCACAATGGTGGGGATATGTGTCAGAAGTGAGATCACATGGTGAGACAGGAAGTGAGAAAAAAAAAGAACTAACTGAAGGATCCCACAAGAACTATCTTAATCCCTGCTGAGGACAGGGCTCCCAGTGGTCTCTTTCTGGGTCTCCCTTCTTAATGATCCCCGTACCTTTTAATATTGTCACACTGGGACCAAGCCTCTAATACATACATACTTGATCCAAACTACATCTGAGCCATAGCAGGAGGTAAAGATCACATCCCTGTCTCACCCTTCTCAGAGCATTCAAAGCTATGTCTTTATTTTAGATATCACACATTTTACACACTGTAAACTTATCGAATATATTCAGAGGAGAACAAGCAAGGTGGCAAACTGACAGAAGCCACCATGTGATAAACAATGGCAGGAACATTTAGCTCAGAGAGGAGAAAATAGGAAGGTGGAAACAGGAGTCATCGGGAGGTAATAAAACTATTTCCAAATTCTGCAGGACTGGCATGTGGAAAAAGGATAACAGCTGATGCCTTTCCCCCAGTGACAGATCTGGGATGAATGGGTAGAAGCTACCAGTAGATGCACTTTAAGTTCCCATCCCTCTACATGAAACAAATATGTTTCGCAAAAAGTCACCCAGAAGTAGGTTTATGCTTTGTAAATGTAGTCAAAGAATATATAATTGTGAAGATAAAAGCAGTTAATTTATAAATACTGACACTGACAAATGACAGGCAAGTGGTGGCTCTAAGAATCCCAGCATGGAGAGAAGCTGAGGCAGGAGGATTACAAGTTTGAGTCTTGCATGGGAAGCTTAATGAGGCCCAGGATTAAAATTAAAAATGAAAGGGCTGGAGATGTAGCTCAGCGGCAGATTACAAATGAGTCCAATCATCAGTACTGTGAAAAAAAGAGAATTGGATGTATGTTTGGTTTGCTTGCTATTTAACAATTATTTAAAAATTAGACTCAGTATTTCTTTTATAGTTTATGACCTGTAACAACAAATATGTACATCCCTCTTTGAAATTAATATAATCCAAATGCTGTTTCTATAAAATGTATGTGTACTTTGAGCACTTATTTGCTTAAGGGTTTTTAAAGGGCTGGCAGAACTCTGTATAGGAGCTATCCAGAAAAGGAAGATCAACTAATAAACCCCTAAGGAAGAGATCAAATAATAGTTGTTCACTGACAGACTATCAATGAACTTGGAGGAAAAAAATGGGAATTATAAAAGGAGAAAATGGTTTAAAGGAACAGAGGAGAATAATCTACCAGCTGTAATCAAGGTGGATGGGCGTAGCATAGAAAACATTAGAAGTGTGTACTGCATTGACTTGGACAGTAGCACTGTCCTGTACATAGCCATTTAAATGATGGCCTGCTAGTCTCAGGGCCAAGAGTCAGGTCTAACTTGTGTAATATCTTGGGCTCAATTACAAAAATGTAGCCCTGATGGTGAATTGGTTGGCAGTGTGGACTGGATTTCTGCTTTCTTAGCCCCTGCTGCTGGGCATTTTTTTTTTTTTTTTTAATAAGGAATAGCTGAACTCATGGCCCTGGATAATCTTGGCATGATCTATTCTTATGTTTTGAAACCACATTTGGAATTACATATCTGGACTCTTCAGGGTTGGATAAAGAGAATGAGATTAGTTATTGTGTCTGGAATGGAATGAAATATGTCCTACATACAAATGGTAAGGAAGGATTTTCAGAGCAATGCAAATTCATAGTATAAAACTTGAGAGTAAAGTGAATTCCCTATAATTGAAGAGGTTCAAGGGAAGGTTTAGCATGGAAAGTAAGAAAAGCCAGTCACTATAACCGAGAGCTGAGGGCTGAATGGAATTGGGAGCTAAATCAGTGAGAATGAGTTTGACAAAGTGGTTTTTCAACATTAGCTCACATTGGCTGTCCAGAGGCTACAAGTATGTGCTGCTGGACCTGACCCCAGAGCATGACTCAGTAGATGTTTCAGTAGGTCCCTAAGTCATACTGATGATGCTGGTCCAGGACCATACTTTGAGACTAGCTTAGACAGTTCTTTGAAAATTTTAATGTGGCCACCAATCACTTGGGGATTGTGTTAAAATTCATTTCCTGGTTCAGTGGAAGCCTGAGATTCTGTATTCCCTGGACAGGTTTCCAGGTGTGGGACCAAGAACCAGGCTTTGCGTATCAAAGGCCTAGAACTGGTTTGATGACAGATGCTGAGCCTGAAGTTCTGTGACCAATCATCTCAGCTGTGGAAATTAGGTGGGGGCCTACTGTGCACCAGGTGCTGTTAATGCAATGGGGTCACAGCAGGGAAAGCAAAATCCTTGCTGTTGTGGAGTTCGCATTCCAGAGAAGCATAGTCATGTTTGTAGCTTGCTTTCCAATGTCTCCAAGGAGCCTTCTTTTGGCCTCAATTTTTCATATCACAGCTCATCCTGAGGAGCGAGAAGAAATATAAAGAGTTCGAGAAAAGCAGAATAACTTAAAATATGTTTGACCCATCTTACTTAAGAAGTATAAAATTTTCTCAGGTGAATGCATATTTTTGTAATACAGAGAAATATAAGCATACTCAGTTTTACTTCCTGCAATTAATTTCTAACAAAACATATACTAAAGCACATTTTAGTGACTATATTTAATGACTATGACTATTGTCACAGGGAGATACAAAGGTATTCATAACCTGGACTTCAACTGGCTTTTAAAGTGAAGTGATTAAAAAAATGAGTCAGGACAGTGTTTGGAGGATATAGACAATATCTGAAGGAAGTCAGTGGGAATTTTCCACTGCCCTTTGGCTTCCTCCCAGAAAGTCTGGGTGAAGGGGGAAAGTAACACCAGTAGACTGGTAATCTAGGCAAGGCAATAAAGTTCTTTGACCAAAAGTATAGATTTAAATCTCACAAGTTACACGACTGTGCCAAGTTATTTAATGTCTCTGATGCCAAGTACTCTCATCTGGAAATGGGGAATAAACTCCACCTTGCAAGGTGGTTGATAGAAGGGATGAAATAATAGTTACATACCTCACAGTATACTTTCAATCAATGGTAACGTGACATCAGGCTGGAGGTAGACCAGAAAACCAGTAGAATTCAGGGTTATGGGAGACATGGAAATGATGTAGAGAGCAAATATAGACCAAATTGTTAATATTCTTCTTGGCCAATTTTCCAGAATGAGGCTGGAAATACAATAAAAAAAATTTTTTTGAAAGAGAAAAAAAAAAACATTGATTACTTTTTTTAAAGGGCAGAGTTAGACTGAACAGGAGAGGGCTCTAGCTATAGCTAGCATGGATTCCCTCCTAAGCCTAGGATAATAGAATTTTACAATAGATACACAAGAACAGTTTTTGAATTTGTGATGCTTTTAAATATGGTTTGAAATTAAAACACTCAAAGCTGGTGAACTTGTAATAAAACTGCAATACCCATAAGTTGTTAGTGGCAAATTGGGATAGTCTTTTACGAAAGTCATTTGGCCGTGTGGATTAGAAGTTATAAAACTGTTCATGCTCTTTCAGTTGGTTATTCTTCTTTTGGAAATTTATTCTAAAGAAATAATCCAAAAGAAGGAAAATGAAGAAGGAGATTGTTTTTATTACCTGCATAGGAGAAAAACCAAAAACCTCAGAAAGCAGCTATAGTAATTTGAAGGATATTTATGAGGACTGTGTAGCAACATGCTCCAATCACTATTGGTGCATAAAACATAGCTGTTGAAAGAAATCACTTTCTCTTGCTCACAGTTTTATAGGTCAGGATCTCACAAAGACTCAAGGTTCTTACCTGGCATCTGTCATGGATTGCACTCAGATCTCTGCAGGTGCTGCAGTCATCTCACGGTGTGACTGGGCTTGCTGTCCAAGGTTGATCGTTCATGTGACAGGCCGTTGCTGCAGTTGTCACCTGGCAGCTTAGCTGGGATATGGATGGGAGCATCCCTACTCAGCCCCTCCAGCATGGTACTCTCAGGGTGGTCAGCTCCTTACATGACTCTGGTTTCTCCAGAGTTGATGTGCCAGGAGCACCAGGTGGGAGCTTCATGACCTTTTCTGATCTGGTGTTGAAACTCATGTGGTCTCATTCTGCCACATTCTTGTGATTCCAAGTGAATTGCTAAGGCTGGCCCGAATTCAAGGGGAGAACAGACTCCATCCATCAATGGGAAGACTGCCAGAGGAATTAAAGACTTGCTTAAAAACTGCTACAGTCTTATCTGCATTCCTCCTGCATGCAAAATCCCATCAGCTTTATCAGACCTCCCACAGACTCAGACTTGCAGTGAAGGATTTCATCATCTCAATCAAGTCCAGGTGTGAAGGGAAGGCTCATTAAGTAACTGAGGACTCCGCAACCAAGGAGCTCAAGAGATGAATAATTATAAAAGAGCAAGAGATGAGAGGCACATAGCAGTCGTTGGTCCATAGGAATTAGAAATCCAGCTGGACACATGTCACCAATTCTTGATTAAGGCCCTATACTCCTCTTCAGGAATTGTACGCTATAGTTCCTGGGTCTGCCACCTAGGCCCTGCTTGTTCCTTCAGAATCACCCTTTTTTAAAATATAAATAATCCATGAGGATGGCCGGGTAGATTTCTCACCATGCTTTCTTCCCACAGAAAGTTGTGGATCAAAACCTTCTTTGCATTTTGCATTTCTTTGGTCTCTTTCCACCTAAGATGGTGTTGCTTCTGCCTATAAGATTCTCTTGAAATTGGTATCTTATATACTTCCTTTCATTAGACAAAAGTCATAAAAAGTCTTTGATAGAAACCTTCACCTCTCTACAACTTCGGAGGGGATTCCTTTTTAAAGCCTAGAAGGTCTATTTTTTGAAAGGAATAAACTGCTGTTATGGTTTGACTCTAAAATGGTTTGACTCCCCAGCCTCCTGTGTTTGGAAAGCGATTGGATCCTGGGTGCTCTACGACCAACTTGCTGGTGGGAGGTGAGGCCTGGTTGGAGGAGGCGTGACCTGGAAGGGTGTGTTCTTGTTGCTAGCTCTTCCCTTCTGTCTGCTTTTGGCTGCCAATGGGTTGAACACCTTTTTCCTCCACCGTCCCCTCTGCCCTCCAGTTTCTGTCGTGGAAACTGGATTCTCTGGACTAAAACCAGGAGGCAAAACAAAGCTCTTCTCCTCTAAGCTGTGGGTGTTGAGTATTGTGTCTCAGCAATGGCCAAGTAACTCAGACATCTACAGGCATAATCTTGAAATCTTTAGATGCTTTTCATATAACTGGCAGACACCATTTAATATCTTTCTGAAATCTTAAAAGAAAGGCTTAAGGTTAACCCTCTGGCTTCATTCTTACCCTCTGGTTGTATTTTCCTGAAGGATCCCTGGATTTGTTCTTTTCCATAGGGTCATATCTTACTTTTAGGACTCTTTGTTGGCTGCAAATGACCTCTCTGTTTCCTTATATGTCTTTCAAATTCCAACTGAAAATGGGAATACTTTTTTTCTTTTTTGCTTATAGCTTATTTGTTTATATCTCCCTGCTTTCTTTTTATTATAGGCAGCTAGCAGAAGACAGGGGGCAATTTAAACACTCTGCCTGGAAATTTTCTTAGGTCTGTCATTTGCTCTGTTACTTTCCACATTACTGTGGGTGATTGTTTTGGTAAGCGCCCCAGCACTACACAACAAAGATCTTCTTTCCTTAACTTCTTGCAGCTTCTCCTTTAACTCCCCTCGCTTCCCTCTAAAACCCCACTGGTATCATTTTCAAGGCCCTGTCAGGTTTCAGCTAACAGATCCAAGACCCTTTCAGCCCTTGCTTGCTGCCCAATCTCACAGCAAGTGCTGTATCTTTGACGCTTTTATTATAGTAACCCTCATTTACAGGTAGCAAAATTCATCTTGGTTACAACTGCTGCATGAAAAATTGCTTCAAAATGTAATGGCTGCAAACCACCATTTTATCTTGATGGTAATTTTGAGCATCAGAAATTTGGAAAGGGCTCAGCTGAGTCCTCATTTGAGGTTACTCATGCAGTTTCAGCAAGATATCAGCTGGGGCTGCAAATATCTGATGACCTGACAGGACCGGATGTGCAAGATGGCTCATTCTACAGTCAGGCATCGATGCTGGCTGCCAGCTATGAGCTGGGCTGGGCTGTCTGTTACTGCCCACCTGGAGACTCTCCACACTGCAGTCTCAGGATGCTTGACCTTCTGATGGGGTGCCGGTCCCCCTCGAGCTGACAGTCCAAAAGAACCAGGTCGAAGCTAATAGTCTTTTACTACAACACCACTTCTTCTGCATGCCTTTGGTTAAAAAGTACTTGCTAACTCACCCGGATTCATGGAGCTGGGACACAGATACCACGTTTTTGATGAAAGGAGTGATGAAGAATTTACAGGTATGTTTTTAAACTGCCACATAATATATTCAGTACCTAAGGTGAAGTGCAAAACACAGTATAGAATTGCAGGAATACTGTGATTGAAGTGGTTCTTAGGAATGGACATACAGAAGGAAGAAGTGCAAAATTTGGTAACTATCTTGTTATTAAGGATGATTTTCTGCATTTATTTTAGAATAGAAAAGAAGTGATTCTATGTTTTTGCATTACCACCTCTGCCCCATTTTTCCTCCTAGTTTATCTTGAGGGTAACTGTGAGACTGGTTTTAAATAGGTTTGGGGTAAGACAGGGCACTGACAGGATGACTGACTGACCGCGGAGGTGGCCGTGGCTGTGGCGGGGACAGACTGAACTGTGGTCTCTGGGATTTGGCATGACACCTCTTCCAGAACTGTCCTGTTCAGTCCCAAGGTGAAGCCCAAAGCGTTACCTACTGACTTACAGGAGCAAGACCTCCAAAGCAGGTGTGCAGCCTTAGCTACATCCAGTTCTATTTATTGCATGAAATGAATAACAAGAAAAATTTGCCGAATGGTACCACCGAACAGTAGTGTACATCTCTCAGAACAGAGCATGTCCACATTCGGTCTCCTAAGCATTGTGGGGTCAAAGCCATCCATGTGCTGTGGTTCTACACACCGCACCATGCCATTTGCCTTCCGCAGTGACAGTCAGAGAGTTTCATTGACCTGCTTTTTCTCACACAACAAGACCTGAACCACATTACAGATAGGAGGCCTACTATGGACTGAGCTGTGCCTCCACCCCGCAATCATAGGTTGAAATCCTCACCCCAATGACTATATTTGCAGATAAAGTCTTTATGGAGGTCATTAAGAGGAAATGAAGGGATAAGGCTGAAACACCAGTCCAGTAGCATTGGTGTTCTTATAAGAAGACGGAGACTGCAGCCAATCACTCCAAGCGGGCTCCCTTCCTGGCAGAGGTCTTGCGCGCAGTGACTGCAAACAGCAGTAAATGCAGCCCGTTATTTGCATGGGCTGCTCTAAGGGACCTTGGAGCCTGCCTTCTGCAGTGGGAGTTCATGCCTTTGATCTCATGTTCTTCCCAGTCTAGGCTCCTTCAAACCCAGAACAATGTGGCCTTAGTGGTGTGCAGCCCAGCACCTGTACCACCATAGGAAATTGCCTTCCCTGAGGACCAAGGAAAAAATTTGAAAAGCAAATATTTGCCATTTTGCCCAGTGAGGAAAATATTGAAAAGCAAACTTAACTAAAATTTGAGAAAATGAAAAGCTGTTTTTAGGATGCAAGGGTTTGCATCTCACTACCTTGGCATAGCAGAGAGAGATGGGAGTGACACAGAGCTGCTGAGGAATGGACCTGCAGTGGGTGGAAAGGGAATTCCTGTATATCTACACAGGAAAGCAGTGACTTGGGAAGCCCCAGGGCACAGTGACCTGGGTTCACATTGGTCAAGTCGTCATGCCCATCCGCATCAAGGTGCAGAACAAGCATCATGTGGCTGAGATCCCATACAGGGCCAAGTTCAAATCCCCTGAGTGCTAGATGATCCACAGCAAGGAGGTGGGGCTTTGCCAACTATAACATGGGTGGGTTTGAAGATATGGTGGCTGAGAAGTGACTCACAACGGATGACTGTGGGATCACACGCAACCCTAATCAACGTCCCCTGGGTGAGTGGTAGGCCCTGCACTCATGAAGGCTCACTCTTCTGCCCCATCCTTAGTCAACCCCACCAATAAATCCTACTTCCTGTCAGAAAATGAGACACCAGCAGTCTCTCCGTTTGTCTCTACCGCTGTCTGTTCATTCACAGACAGAAGGCCATATGAGGACACTGACAGAAGGCAGCCATCTGCGAGCTGAGGAGAGAGGCCTCAGGGGTAATCAGACCTCCTCACACCTTGATCTTGGATTTACATCTTCCAGTGTTGAGGTGAAACAAATTTGTGTTATTCAAGTCAACTAGTCCACGGTACTTTGCTATGGCATCCTGAGCAGACAGGACAAGACCCTGCAGCTCCGTTAACACGCTTGCTTCATTTGTGGAGCATTTCTTTACTTCCTGGCAAAGATGCTCTGTGCCATGTGATGCGCTCTCTGTCTATAGTAAACAGAATGAGGGTCACCAGAGATGGCCACATCCTAATCCAGAGACTAAAATTGGAGTGAGTCATTCCATATTTTTATGTATTTGTGGAAGAAATTCGATTATTTAGAAGAAGTCTAACCATGAGTTGGGTCAATAAATCAGTCTTCTGATGCCCTTGCCAGCACATCTAGACAATCTCTGGTTCTCCACAGAAGTGAGAAGCCATCCATAGGATGGAAATCCCTTGAGGACAGGAACCCTGGCCTCAGCATCCTTGTCTTTCCCCCCACTCTCGGCCTTACTGTAGGTATATAGGAATTCCCTTCCCACCCACTGCAGGTCCATTCCTCAGCAGCTCAGTGTCACTCCCATCTATCTCTGCTATGCCAAGGTAGTGAGATGCGAGCCCTCACGTCCTAGAAAGAGCTCTTCATTGTCTCAAAATTTAGTTAAGTTTTCTTTTCAATATTTTCCTCATGGAGCAGAATTGCAAATGTTTGCTTTTCAAATTTTTTCCTTGGTCCTCATGGACAGCA